GGGAAAATGCTGACAGGTATAGAAATTAAGAAGTTGAGTAGTGGGGATATCAAAGCTTTGCCAAGTACAGTTAGTACAGTTAGAAGTGGCAAGGCATATTTTAATTCTGAGAAAGTGTCAGATTTATTCCTCTATGGCATCAAACAGACAAGTCAAAAGAAGCAGTTTCAGGCCACTTTGGGGGCATGGCATTTAGATGATGCACACCCCCAAAGTGGCCAGAAATCATGCCACAACTGTGCTAAGGGGGGGGGGGGAGCCAGACTAAAAAGAAGCTGAAAGAAACCACACCATCAACCATGCATATAAATGCCCTGGTGCAAGACTGGTCCTAACCCTAACCCTAGAGCAGTGCAGGTGTGCATTTAAAAAGCCGGTGGTCAGGGCAGCAATAGAAAAAAGTGACAACGTGAACTCTCCAATGGCTATAAGTACAACATACAAAAACCAGACAGTCCAAGATGGGGCATAGGGTGAAGGGAGGGGTGAAGAGGGCATGTAGGGGGGCATGATTGTGTATTGCCAGTGCTTTATTGGGCACACCTCTGCTCTGATGCCAGTAGAGGGTCGCAAGTGTGACTATGCGGATGGTCAAAGGGGGTGTCCATCCAATGGGATGGCATCTAGGCAGCAGACAGTCACTGGTGGTGTGTTCCTGTGATGGTGTGTATAGATGGTGGGGGCAAAAGTTTTTTAAAAAGCACCAAGCAGTATAGTTTGATACCACATTGTGTGGTTGTGGCATGCAGATGCCTTGGAAGCAGTCACTGCAGTCAGTGGGGTCTCTGCCCAATCACAGAAGAAGGAACTCCAAGCTGCTGTTTCCTGCTCATCTGCTTGACCCATCAATCTCTCAGCCTTGAGGAAGAGAAGAAAGAGTGCTCTCCGAAGAGAAGAGAATAGCACAAGGTAATCACAATTCCTCATGATTTGCTTTTTATTTTCCTGTATGTTTGATTTTCATTAAAGCAAATAAACCATGCTTTTCCCAAGTCACTGATCCACAAGCCTAATCACCAGTGCACCACAGAACATTGTCATTATCAGCTCATTATCCTTTTATACTCCTAAACAGGATACTTCAAATTCATAGAATCGTCTGTAAAATGTTTAGGGTAAAAAGTCTGTAATTCCTGTAGAGCTCTGCATAGATTGCCAACTAAGACTAAAAGCAGAATTGAAACACTGCACTCATGTTACAAATCTGATTGGCATGGCAAAAATGCAAAGACAGGCAAAGAGTACCAGAAGCAGGGCAACCACCATTTCCCTAATCCTGTCCCAAGAAAGAAAATGCTCAAGATAAGAAAGAGATTTGTCCAGAAAAACAAAAGGCTAATTTACAAGATGTTCTCATTTTACCATTTTTTCCTTCATTGCTGCATCAAACTTTGCTTGTACTTTATCCAGTTCTGCCTGCTTCTCATCTAGCAATGCTTGAGCTTTTGCTAATTCTGCATTTGCTACTTTTAAACGTCCTTCCTGTTTTGCCAAGTTAGCCTAAAATGAAAAATGTAGTGATAAGTTTTGTTGTGTCTTCCATAACTACACATAAGCTTTTCCTTTTCTTAGCTTTTAAGAAAGTGTGTAGATGGGATGGGAAACTGATACTAGCTTGATGAAATCAGCTATCTAACTGACTGGAAACCACCCCAAAGTATTTGGCCTCAAAACTATTTGATTCTTTTCTCTCTGTCAAAGATGAACTGAGGTTGCAAGTATATGATATGGAAAGAGATTCATGAGTGCATAGCTTAGAATTTGAGATTTTTTAAAATAGCAATTGCTATGTTCATTGATCTTACAGTCCAGAATTTTCTTTCACTGGTGCAATCCACTCTTACATGAAGCTTAAATAAACAAGATTTATTTCTCCTTACAGTATCTAGAAATATACTGGAACCAAATGTTGTCATTTACCTTTAGAGGCAATACTTCTCTGTTTATGCCATAAAATATTGCCATGGCCAGTGTCCACGAAAGGAGTCCTGCCACATTACCACATACTTTTTTACCATTCTCAAAAGTATAATCATCCATTAGAAAATAGGGCTGCAGTAATTCTACTGTCTCTTCATTGATTGAATCTTTGGCAAACTGCTGGAGACTCTGCAGAAATGGCCCACTCATAAGCTAGAAGTAAAAGGACAAAACAAAACCCATCCTTAGAAACTATTTTTTTTTCTATCCTATTTCCAACTATATTAATTTTCTGAAGACCAGCGTCTTTTTACAGTTCTATTTTTTAAAAAATTTCAGCTGTTTTTTAAAATTGAAACATCTTTAATTAACAGATGTCACTGTGCAACAACAGTTTACTGTTATCTACTGGCAAGAAGCTCTAATAAAATGACCAAATGTATAGGACTTTTCTAAACATCATAATTGGTGACCTGCTCCAGCAACCTGGGTTCGTTTATTAGAGGTTGTACCACACAGTGTTCTGGTGACTAGCAAAGCACAGAACTGAGGGATAAGTGATGTTTGGAGTTAATAAACACTTAAAGGATTTTCTGAAGGGGAAGAGAGAAGCAAGGAAATGGAGGATAGGAATCTTATTATAATTTAGTTTTCATATATGTGGTTTTCTCACACTCACCCACTCAGGCATGGGTTATGCCCAGACTTTTACTTTCAAATCATGCATTTGTGCTAACATGATCCTAATTTGTACAAGGATTACTACATAAAACAAATAGGCCAGCATCCTGTTAATAACAGATGCAGCTGTAAGTCTAATTTACACCTGCCTAACTCACTTTGTTGATCATTGTGGAAGAACTCTCTACCTACTGCACAATGATGTAGCTTCCCTCATCCACCTTTCAAGCTGCTGCTTGCCACTACAACATGGCCATTCATTCGCTGGTGGAGAATTGGGAGCAGAAAGCAGAGACATATCCAGCTATGTACCTGTGAGCAGGTGAACAGTAATGATACCATCCTCCAGGAATCTTACAAGTGTAGAGTTAGATGAAACCTCAAGGGCCATCAAGTCCAGTCCCCTGCCATGCAGAAATATATACTTAAAGCACTTCTGAAAGATGCCCTTTCAACCCCTTCTAAGGTTCTCCAAAGAAGGAGAGTCCACCACTCTCTAAGGCATTCTATTTCACTGTTAAACAGTTCTTACAGTAAAGAGGTTCTTCCTGATAATTTATGTGGAATCTCCTTGGGCAAAGAAATCACAGATTTAAGCTAAGAAAGCAGGAGACCCAAGACAAGGATCCCTGGGTGGCATTCCAGCTCAGTGGGGAAACCTGGTAAAACTGCCAATTAGACAGGGTGAAATGTAGGAATCTATATTAAGCAGAGTGCAGTGGGGCTACTGCAGTATGAGCTTGTGGTAGAAACAGAAGCAATGACTCTGGATGCTCTAGTATGGTAAAAAACAACACTTACATTTATTGTCTCAGAAAATCCATCTTAAGATAGGATAGGAGAAGACAGAAGAAGATGGCCTAGGTTTGGTTAGAAGAGCCCCTAAAAGATGGCTCTTATGTCTGAGTATAAATTAACACCCACTGTTGGGTTTGGAGCCTCATGGATGCTGTGTCCAAAACAAAGGGAAACAAAGAGACTGTACTTCTTGAAAGAATGAGAGAAGTGATGTCTGCAAGTAAGAAGGAAGTATAAGGCTTGAGTACATAAAGTAAAGATACAGAGGAGTGAAATAAAAGAAGATTATTATCTACACTCCCCCTCTCACTAATTACTTTACAAGTGTTGATGCCTTTTTGCCTCCAACACAGACACTCACTTTGGGTGGTAGAGCATAAGTGCTGAATTGTGCCTTCCTACACCCTGCAAGGAGAGCCATTCTAGAGAGCATTGTTGGCTGATATGGCTAGTGCACATCTGAAGACACCCAGAGGATGGCTATGACTGTGCATCCAGCTATAGGAGCAATAGCTGGATGCTTATCCCCTCCCTTCCATTCTCCAGTAGCCTCCATGTGGCCATGTCAGGAGAGACTGTGGACATTATCACACGTGGGCCAGAAAG